GAGAAAAAAGGGAAGGAGAAAGAGCAAGAGAGAAGGGAAAAAAAGAGAAAGAAAGGAAGAAAAAGAGAAAAAAGGGAAGGAGAAAAAAGAGAGAGAGAGAGAAGGAAAAGAGAGAGAAGCCCCGCCTTCCTGCCAAAGGCCCCTCCCCCTCCAAAAGCCCCTCCCCTCCCGCGCGACCTCACCTGCCCCCACGGCTCTTCCTCTCCCTGCGAGAGAAGCGAGGGGGGGGGGCAGGAAGCGGCGCTGACCTGGCGACCCGGAAGCACTGCCCGGCCCTTCCACGCGCCGGCACCTGGCAACCCGCGAGCAAAGGCCGAGCGATCCGGGCGGGCCGAGATGCTGCGCGGGGCGCCCGAGGGCCAGGCCACCGCCGTCGCCAGAGCCTTGTCGGCCGGTAGGTGCCGCCTCCGCCCGCCCGCCGGGCGCTCTCGGGCCGCCGGGAGACGCCCCGGGTGGCCTGGGCTTCGGGGGGCGGGAAGGGGCGGGGGTCTTCCGGGGAGGGGTCCCTGGGGCTGCCCGAGCCTCTCCTCCTGGCCGGGGAAGCTGCTTCCCCGCCTTCCCTCGTGGGGGCTGCCTGCCTGCCTGCCTGCTAGGGAGAGCTGCCCCTGTTGAATCACGGGCCCCGACAGTGGGGTAGCCTTTGGCCGGCCTTGTCTGGAGATGGATAGGAGACCATGAGGAGATCCATTGGGAAGAAGGGGGTGAGCAGCCCCCGCCCCACTGATCTCTATCTGTCTCTGCCTGTCTGTCTCTCTCTATATATATATCTATCTATCTATCTCTATATCCCTATCTCTCTCTCTCTCATCCATTCTTTCTCCCTTATCCATCCTATCTCTCTCTCTAACTTATCCATCATGTATCTATCTATCTATCTATCATATCTATCTCCTATCTATCATCTATCTATCATCTACAGTCTATCTATCTATCTATCTCTGTCTCTCTCATCCATTCTCTCTCTCTCCCTTATCCATCCTATCTCTCTAACTTATCCATCATTATCTATCTATCTATCATATCTATCATCTATCTATCATCTACAGTCTATCTATCTATCTCTGTCTCTCTCTCATCCATTCTCTCTCTCTCCCTTATCCATCCTATCTCTCTAACTTATCCATCATTATCTATCTATCTATTTCCTATCTATCATCTATCTATCATCTACTGTCTCTCTCTCTCATCCTCTCTCTCCCTTATCCATCCTATCTCTCTCTCTCTCTAACTTATCCATCATCTATCTATCATATCTATCTATCTCCTATCTATCATCTACAGTCTGTCTATCTATCTATCTATCTATCTATCTCTGTCTCTCTCATCCATTCTCTCTCTCTCTCCCTTATCCATCCTATCTCTCTCTCTTATCCATCATTATCTATCATCTATCTATCATCTACAGTCTGTCTATCTCTCTCATCCATTCTCTCTCTCCCTTATCCATCCTATCTCTCTCTAACTTATCCATCATTATCTATCTATCTATCTCCTATCTATCTATCTATCTATCTATATCTACAGTCTGTCTATCTCTCTCTATCTCTCTCTCATCCATTCTCTCTCTCTCCCTTATCCATCCTATCTCTCTCTCTCTAACTTATCCATCATCTATCTATCTATCTATCATATCTATCTATCTCGTATCTATCATCTATCTATCATCTACAGTCTGTCTATCTATCTATCTAAAATCTATCTATCTATTTTTATCAGTCTCAATCTGTCAGACATATATATATATCTGACACGCGCACACATCTTTGTTTACTTTATGTTGGCTTTACTCAGTTTTAATTCTCGTTTTATGTGTCCTTTTATTTCAGTCTTGACCCTGGTAACTACATAAACAGTTTTCTTAATAACACTGTGGGAAGTGGTTTGACAATAATTTATTCTTGGGTGCTTTTCAGCTTCTCTCCTTGATTAGAGGAAACATGAAAGGTCTCCCCATTTATTATTTTTATACATAATTCACAGCATTGAACATGCCTTCTTCCCCCTATTTTTCCCACAAGAGCAATCCTATGAGATGGGCTGGGCTGAGAGAGAGAGATTGGCCCAAAGTCTTCCAGCCAGTTTTCATGTCTAAGACGGGACTAGAACTCTCAGTTTCCTGGTGATTGGCCCAAAATCAACCAGTTGGCTTTCATGCCTAAGGCAAGACTAGAACTCTCAGTCGCCTAGTGATTGGCCCAAAGTCACCCAGTCAATTTTCATGCCTAAAGCAGAACTAGAACTCACTGTTTCCCAGTTTCTAACCTGGTGCCTTAACCCCGAGACCAAACTCTTTTAATTGCCGCAGTTCAATGATAGGGCCCCGGAGTGCTCATGAATGAAATTGCTAAATGCTAAGGACATTTGACAGAGATGAGTTCAACGTTTGGCGTGTGTAATAACATGTAGTTTTGTTTGAATGTTTGTATTCACAGCTTCTGTGCTCTGCCAAGTTGAGCCTGTGGGAAGATGGTTTGAGGCCTTCGTGAGGAGGAGAAACATAAATGTTTCTGCCTCTTTCCAAGAATTAGAAGATGAGAAAGAAAGTTCCGAAGAGTCGGGAGATGAAGAATTACAACTCGAAGAATTTCCCATGTTAAAAACTCTGGATCCAAAAGATTGGAAGGTATGTAATAATAGAATTAAGAATGGAATGGAATAGAAAATATGAAATAGAGTAGAGTAGAATTACAGGATAGAATTAGAATAGAATAGAATAGAATAGAATAGAATAGAATAGAATAGAAATAACTTTATTGTCACTTTGAATGTACGCTAATCAGCACACATTAAAATGAAATTTCGTTGCACAATTACGCACGTCCATTGACTTTGCTTGTCTGAAGGTCACAAAAGATAATCACACATGACTCTGGGACACCGCAACCATCATAAATATGAGTCACTTGCCAAGTTGCTTAATTTTGATCACACACCCAGGGAGGTGCCGCAACAGTTGTGTGAAAAATGGTTGTTAAGTCATTTTTTCCAGTGCCACTGTAACTTCAAACAGTCCCTGCACAAACTGTTGTAAGTCTACCTGTTACAAGCAAAAGGCAACAACTTCTGTACTGGCAAGTCAGACAACTAAACAAGGGAGAGACGACCGGGCGAGGGAGGGAGGGAATACAATTTCTTCTTGTTATAGTTTCTGTGGGCAGTTGTGATTAACCTGAGGCTGCCATAAATAGTTATATTTTCTTTTCCTTTCCCAGAATCAGGATCACTATTCAGTTCTTGGTTTGGGACGTTTAAGATACAAGGCCTCTCAGAAACAGATCAAAGCTGCCCGTAAGTTCACCAAGCGTTCGTGGAAATTTGTCAAATAATAAAACTTCTCCTCTGCAAGTTGAATTGTTTTGTCATGTCATAGTCACTCATAGGTTGCAAGGTAAGAGTTGTAGCACTGTCACAAGGGGACACAATTTAACGTCCTGTTGTGATTCCTCGCCAGCCAGTGGACCCGGCACCTGAGTCTGAGGAATCAGAGGAGGAGGAGGAGGGGCCTGGAGTGACATCAGAGTCAGAGGAAGACTCTGAGGAGCTCCAAGACTTACAGTCGGATGAGGAGCTTGGCCCCTCTACTCGCGCTCAGGCTGAGACACAGCTGTGCTGGGAGCCTGAGTTGGACAGCGATGAAGAACAGCTGGGACAAATCCAGGATACATGAGAAGCGAGTAGGAGAGAGGGATGCAATGGGGTGGCTCCAAAGGCAAAGGAGAAGCCATTAGGAAGCCACGCCTGGGCTGAATTATAAAAGGGAAGGTGTGGGAGGTGCTGGTTGCCGAAGGTAGCCGTTCGTGTTGAGGAATTGAGTTTCTGTGGACTGTGTTTGTTTGCCTTGGACATTGACTCAGGTCTGTGAATAATAAAAGGGGACTGGTTTTTTTCCTGCGGTTCGTGCCTGCTTGTTGGAAGAGGGGTTTCTCCTTGTGAGCATAACAAAGACTCACGTAGGCTGGGACACAACACGTCCTTCCTTCAACTATTCTTACCCTCCTCAACAAGATTACACCCATAGTTACCTGAGGTAACGTCCATGAGCCAGCAGATTCTGTTCTTAGCTTAAATGCCCTACAAGGAAGATGTGTAGCTTCCAAATATCAATAAATAAAATAAAAGGGCTGAGAAATAATACCTTTAAAGGCTGGGAAATAATACCTTTAAACCCTGGTATAAGATGGTAACGGAGGAGTCAGAAGAGTTAATGTAACATTAGGGGAAAAAAGCAGTAAAATGTATTTAATAGTGGCTTGAATTTAATCTAAAACGTCTGACATTGAAACTTGTTGCTTACAGTGTGGCCAAAAATAATACAGAAATCATATCCGTGCCTCCAGTGAGTCCAGTTGTAATTTTCATGAGGTGTCTCTCAATCTTTTGGGACCATGTCTTTTCATTTTTGTTCCACACCTAGTTTCTGTCATTCCCAAATTTGGGGCTCTATGGAGTCCAAAATCAAAACTTATTCGTTTAAAAATAAATTTAGTTCCTTGTAGAAGTGATTTATGTCATCTCCATTTGTGACCGATGTACATTTCCAACCACGAGAAAATATAATTTTCTTTAGACCAGGTATTAATAGTATAATTCATCGTTAACAGTAACAATTTGGTTTAATATGTATAGTGACGTTTATTTTATTTCTTAATGACTTTGGTTTTTAGGCTGCTCCGTTTCCAAAACGACGGAGCAGTTTATAATAGAAGGAAGAAACGGGGTTCAAATGAGCGAAGCAAAATTGATTAGTAACAAGAAGTTACAGGTCTTCACTGCTGTTCGAAAGGTTGTTCATACCTTAAACATGTATTTTATTGTGCTGTAATTTGGTTTACGTTAGAAAAATAAATAAGGATACAGTCTGGATCATTCTCCATTGCTTTACTTCTTTTAAAGGCAGCTGTATCCCCACGTATATAGACAATTGTCATTCTGGAGTGTTTCTGCCAAATGCCAGGGCTTCCTCATACTTCCTTGTTTGAAAGATTGTCTGAGATAATGTGTAATGGACTGTACCTTGATTTTATTTTCCTTAATCCGTAGATAAAGCCATGGTTTTGAAGCACCATCCTGACAAACGAAAAGCAGCCGGAGAACAAATTGGGGAAGGTGACAATGATTATTTCACCTGTATCACAAAAGGTAAGAGCGAGCAAGTATAGCACTAAATAATAAATTATCATACTGTCAGGTCGTGCACAATCTTACTGCGCTGAGATAACCCAGGAGTAAACACAGTAAACAGTGGTTTGTATTAAATGGTGGTTTATCTTACACTATCATACACCAGGAAGCATATACATACGTACAGCGGGATCCAACAAACCACAATTACAGCAGGAAACAGAAGAGAGAAAACACATCAGCAGAACCTTCCCTTTATACAAATGCTCTTAAAGAGACACAGACCCTGCTGGCTCTTAAAGAGACGCAGACCCTGCTGAATCATTCCCATCATTACATTACGCCTTACATCTTACATTACATAATCCTTTAAAAGGCCAAAAATATAAAAAAAATTGTTACTTGTCTGAAAGCAACATGAGAAATTTGCTTTCACCCCGCGCTCTGAAACGTGTTTTTTTTTCTGTCCGCTTAATAAGTTAGATCTGTGTGATTTTCACCTTTCAGCCTACGAAACGTTATCGGACCCCACGAAAAGAAGAGCGTTCAACAGCATAGACCCCACTTTTGACAACGCAGTTCCTTCCAAAAGTGAAGCGAAGGAGAACTTCTTTGAGGTTTTTGCTCCCGTGTTCGAAAGAAATGCCAGGTAAGCTTCGTCCCCTATCTGGGTATTATTGTTCTCTTTGCTTTTCAAATGTTTTCAAGCCATCATTGGATTCCCGTGAATGTCTGCTTTAAGAGGGGATGAAAAACAGAACAGTCAAGTTCCTAAGATGGTGTCCACTGACTGGCAGGAAAATATACTTGAGTGTAAACCAATTCACGCTGGCGTATTTGGACGACGCTGAAGCAGTTTCCTGGTGGATACCAAAAACATTGAATAACAGAGTTGGAAGGGACCTTAGAGGCCGTCTAGTCCAACCCCCTGCTCAAGCAGAAAGCCCTCTACCACTTCAGACAAATAGTTGTAACGGTTGAGATTTGCCAGTAGAGATGGTCCCACTTTCAGAACGCTGCTTAGATTGTCCTCTCTGCCTTTTGTCACGGCGGGGACGAGCTACGCCCCAACAATATCTGGATTTCTAAACCTGGACGAGTTCCGTTCCAGAGGTTAAATATGACATTGCTCCTGGAAATTATAATTTGCCATAACTTCTTGGGGCAACTTGACCCGCCAGAGTGGGGTGTGTTACAGGCTCCCTTTCTTAAGGAAGTCCATCTAGTGGGACCAAGAAGGGCCTTCTCGGTGGTGGCTTCCTCCCTGTGGAACATCATCCCTGCGGAGATGAAATTGGCCCCCGTTTTGACGCTCTTTTGAAAGGCCCCCCAAAGACATGATCTTGTCAGCAGGCCTGCTGACCCCCAGAGTGATATGGAGCCCCATCATGTGGTTTGCTTGATTGTTGTCACCAGATGAGTTTTGTATTTTGAATTTTTATGTCTGTAAGCCAGCCAGAGTCACTCTGAGTGAGCTGGGTGGGCCTATATAAATTCTTAATAAATCAAACAATTATACATGGTAACATCGGCACCAAGGTGCTGTCATATTGCAGTTCTGTTTCAACGTTAAGGATTGCTTGCGATAATCACGTTAGACCGTTAATATATATATTTTTTTCTGAATTTAAAATCCCCCTAAAATGAAAAATGCAGATGTTTAGATGCGTAGAGGCGGTTCCTGCAAAAGAATGCTTGTTTATTTGTTTGCCAATTTTCCACAGATGGTCAAATAAAAAAAGTGTTCCTAAGCTCGGGGATATGAACTCATCTTTTGATGAGGTGGATGCTTTTTACTCTTTCTGGTAAGTGGACTAATTCTGCCTCTTTTTCTATCAAGATCATACAGATAAAACCTGTCAGAAAACAGAAGAATTTGGTGAAGTGGCAGGGTTGAAAAATAAACAGAAAAGACTAAAGTGCTAACTAAAAAACTTAAAAGAAAAACAAAAAAACCAACTAGCCAAAAAAACCCCTTCAAATAGTCAAAAAAAAGTTAAATATTTAGGAAATTTATTTAATTTTGCCTCTTTCTATCAGGATCATAACAGATAAAACCTGTAGGAAAAGTAAATTGGGAATGAATAGAAGTCAATCTATATAAACGTGGGAGAAAAAATTGTGATCTTTGGCTTTTTTTTTTTTAATTCACCTGTTTCGTTTCTGGTTGTTTTTTTTTCCATCTTCCTTAAAATAAACTAGCATAATTGTAACTAACTGAGTTTCAGGCACCAGAGCATCCACGTTTCCCAATCTCAGCAACCTGAAGATGTGTGGGCTTCAATTCCCAGAATTCCACAGTCAGCATGCTGGTTGGAAAAGTCTGGAAGTTGAAGTCCACACATCTTTTAAGTAGCAGAGGTTGAAAAAATCTGGTCTGCTATATAGGTGTGCTATTAAGTTTTGGACTTGGGAAACAGGCTTTTATTTTTACTCACCCATGGATGTACATAAATAGTCAAAACCTGCCCCCTGTCATGCTGTATTTTGCTATGCAAAATACATGTTAAAAGGACAAAAAATGTATGTGTGAGGGTATAGAATATTACTCTGCCTATTTTACGATTCTTGTGATTTTCGCCGGATATGGTGTTTCCACGTAGCAGGACTCAAAAGAATAAAATTGATATTTCATTCGTGCTTTCTGATCTGGTGGGAATTCGCATATTAATAACAACATGGACTATTAAAAAGGCATTTAAATGATACGAAGGAGCTGTTATTTTTTCCCCAGTTGTTTTATTGATTTTTTTCTCTCTCGATGTTAACTGCGATAGGTACAACTTTGACTCTTGGCGAGAATTTTCTTACCTGGATGAAGAAGAAAAAGAGAAAGCAGAATGGTGTGTAAAATGAAAGGGTGTTTCAAAAAAGAAAGGATTAATATATTGAAAAGATAACTTCACACATTATGCTGGGTGTCCCTATTTAGAGAGTCCCGTACTTGACTGCTCAGAAATAAATCCCTTTTAATTCAACGGAAAATATTTATGTATACATAGCTGGGGAAAGGATTGGAGCCTTACTTGGGAATATGTCTGGATTCATAGAACTTAAATAATGAACTTGTGTTGTTGCAGATTACTCTGCGGTGCATTATTGTTGCTTTGTTCTTATTATTAGTGCTTTTGAGTCAGTTCTGACTCTTGGCGACTACGTGAATAATCGTGCATTATTTGACACACTATTGGCTTACCATGTCTTCTTCCATACGTTTAGCCTCATCTTAGAATAACAGAATAAAAGAGTTGGAAGGGACCTTGGAGGTCTTCTAGTCCAGCCCCCTGGTCAAGTAGGAGACCCTATACCATTCCAGACAATTGGCTGTCCAGCCTCTTTTTAGAAACCTCCAGTGATGGAGCGTCCACGACTTCCGGAGGCAATTTCTGTTCCACTGATTAGATAGGGACCCACCTAGGTGATCTTGGGCCCATTATACCCAAAGGCTGTTTTTTTTTTAACCAGAAAGTAAATACTGGTTTCCGGCAAAAACCATCGCACATTGCAGTCACATGACAAGATGCTGCAAAAGATCATTTTGAGCTGGTTCCCAAGCGCGCCCCCCCCCAAATACGATCACATGACCACAGTCAAGATTGGCAGTCAAAACTTTGAAATTGAGCCATAAGTAACTCTGCGGAGTTCGACTGTCACTTCAAATGCTCACTCAGCGTAAGCTGAGCTGTAAGCAAGGACCCATCGCGACCCCATGGACAACGTTCCTCCAGGCCTTCCTGTCCTCTGCCATCTTCTGGAGTCCATTGAAGCTCATGCCTCCTGCTTCAGGGACTCCATCCAGCCCCCTTCTTCTCTTGCCCTCCATCTTTCCCAGCATCAGGCTCTTCTCCAGGGAGTCCTTCCTTCTCATTAGGTGGCCAAAGTACTTGAGTTTCAACTTCAGAGTCTGGCCTTCTAAAGAGCAGTCGGGGTTGATCTCCTCCAGGACTGACCGGTTGGATCCGCCTTGCAGTCCAGGGGACTCGCAGGAGTCTTCTCCAGCACCAGAGTCCAAAGGCCTCCATTCTTTGGCGCTCAGCCTTTCTTACGGTCCAACTTTCACAGCCATACATTGCCACTGGGAAAACCATGGCCTTGACTGTACGCACTTTTGTTGGCAGGGTGATGTCTCTGCTTTTTAGTATGCTATCTAGATTTGCCATAGCTTTCCTCCCTTCTATATATAGAAGAATAGGTGCTGACTATTCTGAACTTTGTAAATAAAAAACCCCCACGCAAAACTAGCCGGTTTAAATACCATTGAATAAAATGGCCTACTAGGAGCATTTAAGGACCGTGGCTTATTTTGCAAACGTATCTAATCTAAAGCAAACTTACTCTCTCTCTCGTCTTTCCCGGCAGTCGCGATGAGAGAAGATGGATTGAAAAGCAAAACAGAGCAGGTAGATCGTTAAGGAAAAAAGAAGAGATGAATAGAATGAGGACATTAGTTGGTAAGTCTGAACCCAACGTTCTCACTGTTCAATACCATAACGTCTGATTGTTCAATAACGTCTGATTGTTCAATACCATCTTTTTGGCTGAGCCCTGTGGACGTTTTTTTTTTTTCTTTCTGCTCCAAGATAACGCCTATAGTTGCGATCCCAGAATAAAAAAGTTCAAAGAGGAAGAAAGGGCAAAGAAAGAAGCCGAAAAGAAAGCAAAGGTAGAAGCAAAACGAAAAGAACAAGAGGAAAGAGAAAGGGTAAGTTCTTTGTATGAGAAAAAAAGAGACTTAAAAGACTTAAATACATTCTTACTTAACCAGTGAAAATGCTTTGAATATTGTGGAGAAAACAAATTTAAATAAGACCGAAATGGTCTAGGGTTTCCTGCCTGAGCAGGGGGTTGGACTAGAAGACCTCCAAAGTCCCTTCCAATTCTTCTTCTTCTTCTTCTTCTTCTTCTTCTTCTTCTTCTTCTTCTTCTTCTTCTTCTTCTTCTTCTTCTTCTTCTTCTTCTTCTTCTTCTTCTTCTTCTTCTTCTTCTTCTTCTTCTTCTTCTTCTTCTTCTTCTTCTTCTTCTTCTTCTTCTTCTTCTTCTTCTTCTTCTTCTTCTTCTTCTTCTTCTTCTTCNTCTTCTTCTCCTCCTCCTCCTCCTCCTCCTCCTCCTCCTTCTTCTTCTTCTTCTTCTTCTTCTCCTTCTTCTCCATCTCCTTCTCCTCCTCCTCCTCTTCTTCTCTTCTTCTTCTGCTTCTCCTTCTCCTCCTCCTCCTCTTCTTCTTCTTTCTTCTTCTTTCTTCTTCTGCGTCTGCTTCTTCTTCTCCTCCTCCTCCTTCTTCCTCTTCTTCTTTCTTCTTTCTTCTTCTGCTTCTTTTGCATCTGCTTCTCCTCCTTCTCCTCCTCTTCTCCTTCTCCTCCTCCTCCTCCTTCATATTATTATTATTATTATTATTTCATTCATTCACTCAGTCATTCCTTCATTCTTACTAGAAAGGGAGGAGAATCCAGCATTTTCAGACCTCATACTGGTTTTATTCCCCCCCTGAGTCGCGACTTTAACTCGGTCCGGAGAAGGTGTGACCCCCAATGTTTTCCTTTTGTCTCAGCAAAGGCAGGCCGAGCTAGAAACGGCACGACTGGCCAAGGAGAAGGAGGAGGAAGAGACGAGGCAGCAGACTTTGCTGATGAAGAAAGAGAAGGATATCCAGAAGAAAGCGATCAAAAAGGAACGGCAGAAGCTGCGCACAACTTGCAAGGTACACGGCTGCTGCTGCTCCTGCTGTTGTCCAACCTGTTGTTGTTTTTTTTCCAGCCAGGTGTTCCGAGCCCAACATCCAGCATCTTCAAATACCGTGTATCATTGTTAAAACCTGGGGGAAACGACAGGCAACATTTTTGTAGTTCTCACTTCTCAGAATTGGTTTTTCTCTAGCGCAGGGCTTTTCAACCAGGGGTACGGGTACCACCTGTGGTACATTGGCACCTGGCAGGTGGTACGCGACCATCCTAGAAAAGGGGTAGCAGGGGAGGGGAATGAGCTGAACTGGTGGCAGCACCACACAAGCCTTCAGCGAGAGATGGCTGGAGCTGCAGGGCTGTCAGGGCTCATCGGAAGCGCCAGGATCAGCGCCAGGATCCAGTGGAGCTCAGCGCTGGTCCTGGCGCTTCTGCTGAGCCCAGAAGAAGCGCCGATCAGCTGGAATGTTGCAGCCTCTCCAGGGTCTTGTGATTTACATTCAGATGCTTGGCAACTGATTCATATTTATGACGGTCACAGTGTCCCAGGGTCATGTGAAGGGACCAAAACCTGCTGCAACCACCCAGCAGACGGGGGGGAATAAAAACCAAACACACCCCACCCCACCCCCGCCGCCAATCCTCAACAGAAATGCTCACAACAATGAAAACCTCGGACAGGAGGAAGAGCGCTGCCGGGCGGGCAGGCAGGTGTCTTGCTCGGCTGTGCCTTGAGGGGGGGCACTTTTTTCAGTGCCATTGTTAACTTCGAACAGTCACTAAGCGAACTGTTGTAAGTCGAGGACTACCTGTACTTTATCACTTTTTTCCTTTTTTTTTTCCTTTGGTCATCAAGTTTTTGACACCTTGCTAGGCGACTGGTGGTACTCGGATATTGCCATATCCTAAAAGTGGTACAATGGGTGAAAAAGTTGAAACGCCCTGGACTAGATAAGCCACTTGACGGGCTTCATCCCACTCAGAGGTCCCCAGGCTCGGTGGGAAAGGGAGGGGCAGACACCTTTAGGCGCGCATGCGCACAGGCCCAAGTGCAGCTGCGCCCGCGTACGCATGAACGGGGCTGCTAGCATGCTCGCTCCATAAATGGGGCTGCTAGCGCCGGCGCAAGGGGGTTGAGCGCGCATGCACGCACACACTAACCAGCCATTTACACAGTTCAGTGGCCAAGAGGCCACAGCCCGGTAGGTTGGGGACCTCTGTTCTAAGTGACTTCGGGCGGCTTACAAAGATAAAAAAAAATCATATAGAAAGAATAAAAAGTGATAACGCCCATCCTTCTGCTGACAACCCTCAATCAGATAAGCCCCTTGATGGGCTTCATCCCACTGAGAGGTCCACAGGGGGTTGGGCTAGAAGATCTCCAGGGTCCCTCCCCACTGTTATTCTGTTGATCAGTTGGACGGCTTGCCTCCAGAAGTGGTGGGTGCTCCATCACTGGAGCTCTTCAAGAAGAGACTGGACAGCAACAAAGCGTAAAACATGGGATAGATATTGAGCTCTTGAAAATGTTTATTGATTAACTTTTACGATTAATGGAATTTATATGCAGTGATATATTAATGAATGAATTTGTTTTAGAAATGTACTAATTTGAATATATTATCCTAAATAGAGAGAGAGAGTGTGTTAGTCTAAGTCTAAACATCTGAAAAATGATTAAAATGTAAAATAGGATTTTATGGGATAGATAATGAGTTGTTGAAAAAAAATTTTTATTCACTAACGGAATTTATGTGTATGAATTTGTTTTATAGAAATATATTAATTTGATTATAATATCCTAAATAGATAGAGAGGGGAATTTTAAGGAAAATTTTAAGGAATATTGTCTGAGCTGTATATTTATAATGTTCTTGTTTTTCATTGATAACCCTATCCCCACGTTGGTTCTTAAGCCTTGCTGGTGTCAAATGGAAAACTAATAAAAATTATATTTAAAAAAAAAGAAGAAGAAGAAGAGGAGCCTGGACAGCCATTGGTCCAGAAAAGTATAGAGCTGCCTGCTTGAGCAGGGGGTGGACTAGAAGACCTCCAAGGTCCCTCCCAACTTGATATTCTAACTCAAAATACTTCCTGAACGTTTGAAGCTCATCTTAATGTCAAGTGTTGTAGCAGGCTCAGTCCAACACGTCGTATGTCAGTTGCGTGTCGGTTTTTTTGCCCCCCTTGAAATCTGAAAATAAAGCATGTGGCGGTCCATTTTCAGAACTGGAACTACTTTTCCGACAACGAGTCGGAAAGCGTCAAGATGATGGAAGAAGTAGAGAAACTTTGCGACCGTCTGGAGCTGGCAAGGTAGGCAATCCTGACCTCCGCTCTGTGTTTGTTGACCTTCCCGCTTTCTGCCAGATCTGAAATGTCCTTCAATGATTTGTTTCTAGCATGCAGTGCTTGAATGAAGCACTTACCTCCACAACCAAGGACGAAGGGAAGGCGGCGGTATTAAAACAGGTAAATATTAACATTTTGTCGTGTAAAAAACAACAACAACCCGGCGGAGCAGGGCGAAACATAGGGAAAAGACGCAACTTCCTGGCTAAAAATTGGAAGACGAGCCGCCGGGGGGGGGCGCGGCGACCGTCATAAATACGAGTCCGTTGCCCAGCGTCTGAATTTTGATCTCGTGCCCGTGAGCTATTGCAGCGGTCGGAAGTCCCTCTTTTTTCCCAGTGCCGTCGTAACTTTGAACGGTCACTAAATGAACTGTCGTAAGATGCCTTCTGATTTGGTGGACAGGGGTATCCAAGACTACGTCCTTCACCAACAGTGGGCGGGCTATTTTCCATTGCTCCCCCATATGAGCTCCTGGAATTAATTCAGACATCAAGACATTCTCAACAATTCTTCGGCGCGTAGACAAAGGCACATTTTTACGCCTCTTTCTGCAGAAATGGAAAAGGGGGTCCCCAAAAGAGAGCAGGCCCCCAAAAGCTGCCGAGCAAAAGAAAAGATTTAAGCCCTCCACAAAACAAGCGAATGCCAGCGTGGTCTCCTCTAAAAGTTTCTAAATGTTGTGTTGATTTGGGGAATTTTTTAATTTTTTTTTTTACCTCGCGGGTCCAATAAAATCCCTTGACTTCTGTCTGTCTGTTTATGTCGGCTTCTTCTCCCACCAAATAAATTGGGAGGCTCAGGATAGCTCTGGGGTTGGTCGGAGAAAAGTACTTTTTTTGGTTTTTGGTAGTCCGGTTGAGAGGTGTGTTTGTTTATGTTCATGTAGATAGAACAAGTAAATGAACAGGTAAGGAGAGAAAAGGAAGAAGCAGAAGCTCAAATGCGACAAGCCACAAAGAGCTCGGACAAGTCCACAACTGGAAGCATTGGGGGCAGCAAGAACTGGTCTGAAGATGACCTCCAGTTGCTAATTAAAGCCGTCAATCTCTTTCCTGCCGGGACAAACTCAAGGTAAGCCTATATTTATTGTTTGAGCATCTTCTGGTTGTTAGTTGCGAAGTAGTGTCTGACCCATGGACAACGTTCCTCCAGACCTTCCTGTCCTCCGCCATCTTCTGGAGTCCATTGAAGCTCCCGCCTCCTGCTTCAGTGACTCCCTCCAGTCACCTCCTTCTCTGTCGTCCCCTTCTTCTCTTGCCCTCCATCTTTCCCAGCATCAGGCTCTTCTCCAGGGAGTCCTTCCTTCTCATTAGGTGGCCAAAGGACTTGAGTTTCAACTTCAGGATCTGGCCTTCTCAAGAGCAGTCAGGGTTGATCTCCTCTAGGACTGACCGGTTGGATCACCTTGCAGTCCAGGGGACTCGCAGGAGTCTTCTCCAGCACCAGAGTTCAAAGGCCTCCATTCTTTGGCGCTCAGCCTTTCTTACGGTCCAACTTTCACAGCCGTACGTTGCAACTGGGAAAACCATGGCCTTGAAAGGTTTCCAGACTGCCAATTCTCAGCAAGCTTCTGTAGAACTGGCGACCGTTTCGTTTCTCTAACTAACCCATGAGAAAACAACACCTCCACACAGAGAGACACACACACCTCACACTTATTCCAATGGCAAGATGAAAACAGAGGGGCACATAGCTGCCAAATTCTCACTCTTGACAGCCTAGAGCAAACATTTGGTTTACTCAACGGCTCCTATTTTCACTTAATGACCGCTGCGAAAGTTGTAATACTATATCTGTCACATTGGTGACCTGTTTTGCGACCCTCACGAGTTAACCATGAACGGACGGG